ACCGGGAGCTGTGAGTTTAATCAAGCTTGGACCTATTTACCTGCCAAACCTACGGCATTGTATGGAATTCACAAATTCGCCTAATTATAATCAGTGATTTTATATTCGTCGGCAGGACGAGAACATCCTGATAAGCTGCCAGACCACTGTTGACGCAAGGCTGTAGAAATGCAAAACCCAATAGATTTCCATTAAAAAAAACTCAAGCATGCTTTTCGCTTGATTAACAAGGGCACGCAAAAAGTCAAACAGAGGCTCCATAGGTTTCAAGTCACATGGCAACGTACGTTTTTAATAGCCAGTTATATAACTACGCACATAAGGATTAAACTTTTCAAGACTTGATTCTTTGTGCACCGAAGACTACAGTAAATAAGAGAAGATGCACACCAGCTAACAGCTTTACTGGGAATTTGGACATTTTATTAGCAGAATACGGTAAAAAAGATAAGTCTCACGGCCAGTAAACTCGTGTCGTCGGATGCAGACGAACCCTCAAAACCCCGACTTCGATGTGGTTATTCTGGTAGATGAGAGTATGGTCATCAAAACTGTTCCTTCATAATCTACATATCGAGGCCAACATAGATTACAAGTTTGTCTGTGTAGCTACAGCGCCAGTGAAACCAGAGATTATGCGGCCAGAATTGTGGCACCCCTAAGTACTATTTGCCTACATCAAATATGGTGGTCATGCATAAACAAATTGCAATTTCGAAGAAGAAACCCCAAACCTCAGTCTTAAGTAATATGTGAGTTTGACACACATTTATCTCAAGAGGGTTAGGATGCCCGACAGCGGACTGACAAGGGGAGGATGAGAGTACGCGGTGAAAGTAATTGGAACGACATACTCTCCTGACGATCCTTACCGAGAGCTGATTAGGTATCCCATCCTATACGCAGGTTAAGACAATTGCAGCACTACGGCGAAAATACTGTCAAAAGTCAGCCTCCAATACCCGAAGACACGCGCACGTAGGAGAATGCGGGCGACATTTTTCGCAATAGTATCTTTGATATATCGCTTTTAAGATCGTCTACACAAATACTCGGTGTTTAATTTTGGGTTTGGAAGATGTGCTTAGTTCACTGACGCTTTAAAAACATGTTAAGTGTCGTTGAAAGTAGAGGTCTACCTTGCTAGTCAGTGGAAAAACGATACGTTAATTACAGAAAGCGGAGAGAGACTTAAGGGCACGAAAAACAAACAGTGACAGATAGGGCGGGGGACTAGGCTTGGGGAGTATCCATCTCCACAGGACAGTTAAACCGTCGTAAATAACGATGTCCGTCATGTACGTCAAAGCACAGTGGGCGCAGGACAGATGACTTGGGCGAAAATGAGTTTATTGTGATAGCAGATTCTCGTTGCATCTGCAGCCTTCGCTCTTCCTTCAGGCATCTAAGCTCGGTGTCAAGACAGACCCAAGAAGACCAGAGGCGGGAGCGGAGTCAGTGGCTGACGTAGTTAAACAACATGGCAATGTGTGCAACACACGCCTGGTCCGCACACAATGGATCAGGTCTTCGCAGGACAAAGAAGGGTACGAATCGGACTCCGCCTGAGTGGGAGAGTTATAAAAGCCAAATCA